CCCTCCCCCTCCTACCCCAACCCCCCCCCCCCCCCTCACTCTGTACTACATTTTTGGCAGACCGAGGCGCGGGGGAGTGCTTCCGCTTCGAGAGAAGGGCTCAGATGCTCGCGGATTCCGCTAGAGCGGTAGACACCAAGAGGTGATGAACGTGTTTGGCCTTGTCCGTTCAATCTGCCTGCTTCGGCACGTCTTTCCACAGAGCTTTTCTCTTGAATTACGAATGTGAGCAGCGTGTTCTGGCAGACACTTTTGCAACCGTGAGGTGAAGCATTATGGCGTCCATAGAAGACAGAAACTAGAGACACCATTGGCGAAGGAACGGGATAGCAGTGCAAATGGATCAGTTTACGAGTCCATTCCCACAGCAAGGGAGGCAATGAAAGTCGGTGTTTGATGCGTATTTCCAAGGCGATGGGGCTTGCAGATTGATGGACGCTTATGATGCAACGCTCGGATACATTGCCGTTTTGCAGAAGGTTGTTGGGAACACGGTGTTGTTGTCTTTGTTATCGGTCTTCAAAAGGAGAAGTGACGGCCTCCCACCCAGAAACACTTGAATCTCTTCGTGAAAAATCGAGAAAAAACGACGCATACATACAAGACCATGGCATGCGATCGATAACGTTCGGCGACGAAGATCCGACCTCGAAGGTAATGGTGTCGCTTGAACTGGGTAGGTACGCACACGTGTTCCCCCCGTGGAAGTCTTCGACCCCCCCGAAAATACGAGTACCGTGGTACCGAAAATCCACTTGTTTTGTGAATTGAATTCCGGTCGTACCCGACCGAGCAGAGAGAAGGGTAACAAGGCGCAGGCGATGAAGCTTCTCAAGGCGGTGCGTAGCAGGCTAGGGAGCGGCGGCGGATCAGTCGGCGGCGATCTGGCGGAACTAGGCGGGGGAAACGACCTCGTCTGCGTTGTGCCCAAGGTCTGCAACAGCAGATTGGCCTATGCCAAAATATGTTGATAGCCGGGTGGATACGGTAGTTCTGGTTGGTTGACAACAATAGTTGGTTTCGCTTGTATTGCATGGTATCATTTATGCGACATCCGAGGGGTGTACGACGCACAAGGTGCAATGTGGAGTGAGCTTGCTCGTTTGGTTTTTGGTTGTGGTTTTTATGGTTACGTGGGTGTCTTGTTAATATCGATCCGTACGATGTTGTCTCGCGAAAATTGCGTTCTGCAGCTGTTTGCAGGTTTCTGTCTGTATACGGAGTAGGTTTTAGAAGCAGCTATCTCCTTGTGAGACCTACAATTTATTTCGCGCTCTTCATACCCTCTCTCGATAAGCTTGGCCTTAGCGGTCTACTTGATGCCTTTCTCAAGTGCGGAAAGTTCGACTATTGGTGTTGTGATCCTGATCGATCGTAGTGCTCACCTGCTCTCATTAGATTTGTCTGTCGCTCTCTCTCTGCGTGTGTTGCTCTTTTCTCTGTGTTCTCTCTCTCGACGATGACGATACATTCTGTGTGCGACACAAACGTGTTCTTGGGTGGAATGTTGAGAACCCTAGCCCCAACACACTTTTGCTACCGATGGTATTGTTGCTCCATCACATTTTTGCTGCCGATGGTGTTGTTGTTGTTGTTGTTGTTGTTGTTGTTGTTGTTGTTGTTTCCCCGCGAGAACCCTTTCTGGCCAGTTGAGGGTCTCCCAACCCTCTCGGGCATCGTCTCTTTCGCAAATACTGCTTTACAAGACCCTACCCTGCTGATCATCCCGTCCATTACAATTTGGCGGTGATACTCGTTGAAGGGCCGGAAGCGCAAGCGGTCTCGGGAGCTGAGCTCCGGCCGTAGACCGGGGCATGGCGGTGGCGGTGGCGGCAACCTAGGCGAAACAGGACTTAGCGATGATGGCGTTGAAAGCGGCAGCGATGGCAGCAACAGCGATGAAGACGACGACGACGAGGACGATGACCTCAGCGAGGGGGGCGACGAGATTGACAATGCCGTCGCGGCGTTCTTGTCCGGGGTCGCGCAGGACAAGGACGACTCTGACGACTCTGACGGCGATTGTGGTGGCGGCGGCGGAGACAGAGACGGCGATGTGGGCAGCATCGACGCGGAGGAAAGACGACCTCAAGAGGGCGGGGGTGGTGCTGGCGGGGGAGGTGGTTGCGGCGGACCGAAGCTGGACGACGGGAAGCAGGGGATAAGGTGCGCGCTGTTGCCGGGTGTTTGTTTTTTTTGTTGCTACGAGTGTCTCCAAGGGTTGAGATCGCGACTGTTTGTCGTATTCCCTGACGTAAGGCAGCAACCTTGAACGCCTCTGATCCGGCACCGGTCAACCCCCCGGCCGTTCCATGCTTTTTCACGTGCTATTTTCGATACCCCGACTGCCCCACGCGACATGAGCGTGAAAGTGTTTGGCACTCTTCTCTGTTTTATTTGTTCGTGCCCCCTCCATTCCAGTCTTGACCTCCAGCTCCCCTCGGTGATAAATTATCCCTGAACCACCGCATTCCATCAACACCGCCTCCTGCTGACTCCTGGGGGTCGTCTGGCTGTTCTCTTGTCTCGCGCGGTGGCAGTAGGTCACTGGCAGCCCAACCAACGTCGGCGCGTGCTCCGTCTCCCCACCACCACCAACAGTCCACGGTACCACTGCTAGAAATCCGCGATTCCGCGGCAGGGGTAGCGCAGCAAGCACCGCAGCATCGAGGAGCCGGTGGCGATGGCCGCTTTCGTGGATCTGTCCTTGCGAGAGCCACGCAGCGAGGGATGGGCAAGTCAGAGGTTGCCCCCTCGGTGGGATCGGGAGGAGCGATCCAACGGTCTGGTCTGTTCCGCGGAGCTGGCGGGTCTGGTGGGCAGGGGCTGGTCGTCGCCGCCGAGCAGTCTCCCGCCACGTCGACGGCCGAAGCGTTGATGACCCCAAGAAACAGAAGCTGTGGTAACGAGGGAAAGCCTGGCTCCCATGAGAATGACCGCACCATGAGGACCCCCGTACTTCGGCTATCCCCAGACTCCGGGTCGTCATCCTTTCTGTACGAGGCCGGGACGGACAGTTGCCCGGCGATCCTTGATTCTGCCGACGGCGAGGACAACAACGAAGATCACTTCCCTCTCGACGTAGGAGGAACAGAGTCAGCGTCTAGAAGCGATTCCGCCGCCGCCGCCGCCGGTGTAGCTGAAGAGCAAGAGGATTTGCGGGTCGGTCCCGCATTTGCGGCGTGTCGTGGTCTGCGCGCTCCTACTGCCGGGAATCAAGCAAGAGGGAGCCACCACAGCCCTGAGGGTAGGAGGCAAGGGGATTCCACGGACGTGTTCGCCGGGGGGCCGGCGGCGGTGGCGGAGTTTTCATCCGCGTGGCGGCGCTCGAAGTGCTTCTCCTTCGTGCTCGGTAGCCGCGACTTACAGTGGCTCAGGAACAGCGGCAGCAGTCACGGCGGGGGAGCGGGAAGAGGGGATCGGCGTGCGTGGGAGTACCGGCGGTCATGGGAGGCGCTGGTGGCATCACCAGCGTTGCCAGTGGCGCCTTACACGGTTCCGTCGGGCGGGGAGGGCGGCGTTCCTCTGTCTCAGCGTGGGCATGGAGAGTCGTGAGTGTGTTTGGTGTGAGAGGAGACGTTTGATGTTGGGCGACTGGAGCGAGGGCGGAGAGTTGTAAGTTTGTGGCTACGAGTATTTAGAGGTGATGCCGTTTTCCCGTTCCGTCAGGGGGTGGGACCTGTTTCTATGCTATGTCAAGTGAGGTGTAGCCTCAAGACTGCACAGCATTCTTTCCTTCGGCCACGTATATGGTGTTCTCTGCGTGAGGGGCTCCGTGGCAAAAAGGGGTTGTGATCGATGAAGTAATGGCTGAGGCAAGCCAGCGGCTCCAAACTCTTCTTGTTGTTGAGTGAATCGGGTCTCACTTAGTAGGCTAATGTCCTAGGGGTCCCCGTGGGTCGTCGCAGCCAGAAGGTTCAGTGTGAGCGGCAGGTTTCATGTACGCTCCCGCTAAGAAACTCTGGGATCGAAAGCATGTGTGCAAGCCGTTTCGTTCCGAAGCAGTTCGTGTCCGGCGGTTGCACCCCACTCGAAGCTCACGTTCTCACCTAAGAAAGGAGTACATTTGAAGTTTGAATTGAATCGTATGGGACCCCGGTCCCCCTTGTTCCCTCCCGCCGATCGCATCCCCCCCCGCCCGCCCCCCTCTCGTCCACACGAAGGTTGCGAGTGGTGAGCGGCATCGCCGTCTCCTTTGACGGTCAGACGTCACGCTATCTGCCGCTGCCTCCTCTCCTGCCGAGCCGTTCCGCCGCGTGGTATCAGCCCTCCTCTATCTGCGCCGACCACAATAGACGAGCCAACGGGGGGGGGAGCCGTGTTGAACCTGGGAGCAGTGGAAGGAGAGTCGGCGTGGGCAGGGCTTCAGCTCGCTGGGAGGCACTGCCCGGGGGCGTGCTGGAATCTATCGCCCTGTTTGTGAGTTTTTGTGTTCCGTCGGAACATGTCGGTCTTGCTGGAAGCTTTCGCGGCAATATATCTTAGTTACGTTTTTCGTTTTGTCTTGAGCGCCTCCGTTGGCTCGTTAACTCTGTCCACTTTCAGCGATCTCCCAATATCACACCTTCCCCTACACGCCTGCTCACTTTGCCCGCATACAAGAATAGCACACAGGGGGTTCAAACGCGGTACCTTTGCCCTGGCCGCTCTCTTGATGCTCTTCTTTTCAGGTTGGGTTCCCTTGGCTGTGCGCTGGCTGCGGCAGCGAGTACACGAGGTGCCGCAGTCACAAACTGGCTGACGACGGCGTTGACGACGGCGGCGGTAATGACAGCGGGAAGAGGCGCGGGCGCAAGCTCAGACCTTGGAACCAGGCTCTCCTGGTCTGCCGTAGGTGGAACGCGCTTGGGGTGAGCGAGAAAATGTGTATGTTTTTGCTCTCAGTAGCCTTCCCAGGGTTTTATATTACGCAAACATGTTGGGTAAACGATGCAATCGGGGAACTTGGGTTAGGGTTACGGTTAGGGATAGGGTCTGCCTCCCCCCTCCCTGTTCTATTTCCTCATCAACAATATTTCTCGCGAAGGCGGTTCCTTTCTCTTGTGCATGTTCCACGGTGAAACATACTTTGGAAGTCACGTGTGGCATCTCTCCGTGCTCAGTTTGCCGAGAAAGGTTACAAGAGCCTCGAAGAAAACGAGGTTGAGAAACAAACGTGGCACAAAAAATAAAAACATGCCCCCTACCCCTAACCGCCTGCGTTCCATTTGCTGACCAATACTTTCTCGCCAAAACCATGCTGCTCGCCCGAACAATCTGAACAACAACAGGTCGAGGCGCTTAACCGACTGGCAGCTGAAGAGCCAAGTGGTCGATGGGGGTTGCTCAGAGACGTCATGGAGGACAAGAACACGACAAAGGTGTTAGTGGTGTGCAACGCACGGGCGATTTTTCTCTCTCCGGGTGCGTTTCTGCCAGCGTTGAGGTCTTTGAGGTGTTCGGGTGATGCAAGTGCGTCGTTTGCAGAAGCTTGTTATTCACGATTGGTCCATGGTGTTTGGTGAGGATGTGACGCCGCCGTTCGCTACATGACTTAGGTTTTCCTCAAGGGCCTCGTACCCTACGGCACCTCTCGCGCTTTCAATCCCAACCAGGCGGTCAAGCGGCTTAGGGTCAAAGCCCAAGTGTCCCTGACAAATTGAAACCTTCTGCTTGGGGCATATGCGATGTATTTCTGTGACAGCGTACTGATGTTTGTGTGCCCGCCGCTGCCCATCCCCCGCACTATCCCCCACTGACCCCGCCCCTTCACCCGAACCTCATTTCTCCCTCAACCTAGTCGTGCTTCCATATAATAGCATTGATTGGCACCTCTATCCATCAACCAAAACATCAACTTTACCGCCACTACTTCCCAATCGCCCCCGCCACACAACAGGTCTGCCTGGATATGAAGGGCGCTCTGGTTTGCCTCCGATCTCTCGGTGTGAACGTGAAAGGGCCCCTAGAAGACCCCGCCGTGGCAAGGTGGCTTGCGGAACCCCCCATTGAGGACACCACGCAACTACAGCAGCAGCAGCAGCAGGTGAAACGGGCATCGAAGAAGCGGAAGACACCGCTACCGCCGCCCCGCGTTCCTCCCGCGAGTCTAGCCCTAGCGAGGTGAGTTTGGTGGGTTAATGTTGAGATTTTTGAGACAATTGGGGCATTCTCTACGGGTGTGACCCGAGAGGATGTGTGGGCTTAGGCCTGACTAGAAGCGTTGTAGACTGGGGTGTCGACAAAATATCGATACTGATAGGGAAGCGTCAAGCGTCCGTTCACGTTCAGCGAGGAGCAAATGGCGGACGTTGTATTGGAGCTGACCTCCGGTTTTGGCGGATGTGATGACTACTGTTGGGCGTGCGTGTGTGTGACTGCGAACACTAATACGCCAGGTGATGCTTAAGCTTGTTGTGTGAGAGGAAGGACCTGTTCAACCGCGAATGTATGTAGCCGTCTACTAAAGGGTGAGGCGTTCGGTGACACCGTCGGTGGTGCTGTTAGTGGAAAACGCTTATCAGGGAAGGCGTACGTGGTGCCAACCAAACACGGCCGACTACATACACGCAGGTCGCTGCCAGACTAACGTACGCATGTTCATAGTCCGTGAGCGCGATCGATGTTAGTTCAAGAGGCACGCGCATGCACGCATTCATACCGCCTCTGACCTCCTCCCTGAAGGCTTTTTCTCAAGAAGCGGGTGCGTAGGCCTGCTGACTTGTCGTCTCGTTTACGGTGCGCTTGTGTACAAGATAATGGGTACCGTGTCGACGCAATCAGATGTACCTTTTTCGTTCACCCTTTTCGGGAAGATCACACCGTATATAGCTAACGACGCATGGTGAAGGAAGAAATTGTTATTTTTTGCCACGGCAACGAACTGAAGAAAAACCTCGAATTCTTGGGAAACGATTGGAACCAACCACGTGGGGAAGCCGGCAGTGTTTTAGAACTTGAGCTTGGTGCGTGGTCGTGTATAGCCTTCTCTGTTAATTTGAGGGACCTGTGCATATCTCCTCGAAGAAACCTACTTCCGCATCCCCTTTCACTCGCTCGTGTGTGCCGTCGGAACCACGCGTGCGGCGTCGGCAGGCCACCGGTTGATGTGGTGGACCTCTGGTGCTTGCAGGCTGCGGCGACGCTGTCCTTTATGGCGGAGAAGGAGCAGGCTCTCAAGGATCTGAGCCTCACGCTCCCGTTCTTTCTTCTCGAGGTACGTGTTCGTATGTGCGCATCTACACAGCACGCGCGTGCTGGCGTGTGTGTTTTCTTCGGTTGGCGTGGACCGCGATAACCGAACGACCATGGAACAAAATCGTCTCCACTCTGTGTGCGTCACCACTCGCGGGGTATTGTTTCGGCGCCAACATGATGAGAGAGGGAGGAACGTTCTTTCGCGTAGCAATGTTCTTTTTCGTTCCCTCAGAGCCGTTTCGTGTGTGGGCCTTCCAAGGTATCTCTTGGAGAAGTCCAGCTTAATGAACCAACACTACAGTCAGTTGCATTGTCGATTCATGCATTCATTTGCTCGTTTGCGTCGAAAACACCAACACATGTTGAAGATTCACGCACGAACTTTTTTCAGATGCCGGCGGTTTCGGCGGCGGCCTTGATGGAGTATTCCGGTCTCGCGCTCAAGGTTGGTCTCGTCGTCGGCGCGCGCAGAGAAGTGGAGCTTCGCTTGGACGACCTCGAAAGACTCGGGGAACAGCTCGCGGGAGACTACGAGGTAACCCCCCCCCCCCCCCCCCCCCCCCCCCCCCCCCCCCCCCCCCCC